AAATAAGACTTATTTCATAAATAAAATTCCTGGGTTTACTTATTTCCAGGTCTGCTAAGAGTAACTGGAGTAAATTCCAGGCATCTATAAATGCAGTATAATTATTGTTTATGCAAACCTCAATTACCTATCATCCTCCTTTTAAAAAATAATCCCTAAGAAGGAAATCTGAAGTGCAAAGTTCTGAATGCTCAATCCCATTTATTTTGGTTGGTTCTAATAAGGATATCATCAACTGTGGATTCTGGACTTTTTTTTTTCCTGGAAACCAGTGGTGCCTTTAAGTTCCTTTTACTTTATCTACAATGGAACAGACGACCTTTGGCTGCCTAGAAACTGCGGAATTACAATTTCCAGCAATCCCAGCCAACGTGGTCAGTGGTGAGGGATGCTGGGAGTTGTACATCAGCCCCTGTACCTTTATGCTCCACCCTTGTATTGCTAAGGCATCCAGGAAATCAACAAACTGTAGCCCAGCTGTGCTGTCATCTTTCTGATTTAACCTCTAATTTAAAAGCAGTTCTGTAATACCCAGGACAGGTTTCTAGGTTTTAATCTGCTTCCCTAAACTGCTGTCCTTGCCTCAAATGATGCATTGGGTGGCAACCCCTTCATCAGCAGTAAGCATGCTCTCCAACCCAGTATTAAAAAACATTGTTTGGGACTTGCAAAAAAGCCAGAAATTTGGGGGTTCAAATACATACAGCAATACAAAGTATTTTAAAGATTAATATATAACTGAAACCAGAACTCTTCTTGCTGCGACGAATGAATAGATAATTAGAGAAGAGTTATGGTAGATTTTTTTTTTAATATGATAACTGCTGAGAGATTATTATATGCGCAAAAATGGAAAGACTCCGAAATACCCACAATGGAAGAATGGCTGGGGAAGATAACAGAATTAGCAGAGATGGCAAAACTGACTTGTTTGATTACAGAAAGGACAATAACTACAGTGCATTTATCAGTGACTGGAAACCTCTTAGGGACTTCTTGCTGAAAACAGAAAAAAATGAGCTTGTGATTTATGGGCTTGACGATTAGAAGGGGCAGACTATGGAAAGAAGGAAATTATGTTGTAACCTTAGAGAGAGAAGGTAAAATATAAATGTACAGTACTTGTAACTGCTATTAGGAAGACTGGAAGCTGCTTCTTTATAATTTTCTTTTCCTTTCTTTGCTTTGTTTCTCTTTTCTATTTCTTTCTTTGTACCTTTTTTCATTTTTTTAAAAGATTTTTTTATCCCGCCATTTTTTTTTAATAAATAACTCAAGGTGGCGAACATACCTAATACTCCTTCCTCCTCCTATTTTCCCCACAACAACCACCCTGTGAGGTGAGTTGGGCTGAGAGAGACTGAGTGGCCCGAAGTGCCCCAGCCGGCTTTCATGCCTAAGGTGGGACTAGAACTCTCAGTCTCCTGCTTTCTAGCCTGGGGCCTTCACCACTAGACTAAACTGGCTCATATTATTATTAAAAATATTGTTTGGAAGCAAAATGTCTCATTTTGGTGCATTTTCCCTTTTCCTATTTGTTGTAGCAAATCAGACTCATATTTTACTCAGAACAGGTAGGTGAGGAAGATTCATGGATGAATTGAGCATGACCATTCTGCTAAACTACTTCTACATCTTATAACGTGACTTAAATATGCAGAAATCAGTTTGGGAAGCTTTTTTTTCTTTTCTTTCCTAATATGCATAAAGAACAAGTAACAATATAGCAGAGAACTCCCTATTAAGCTTAAGATGGAAATGTTTATTATATAACAAATAATTTAACACACTTTGCAGCTGTTTATCAATGCCATGCTCAGGTTTAGATGTACAATTTAAGCAACCTTATGTTTATTAATATTAGCATTTTAGAAATTATAGTTAATATTGATACAAACTTCTTTATCTTTAAAGGTTTAAGTTTAAGTTACAATAAGGTTTAAATCATCTCTAGTTAATACTGTATAAATACCACTGTATCCAAATAATATAATGTATTATTTGCATCTTATAATACAATAAAACAATACTAAAAAAAAATTTGGTAAATCAAATACTTCTTATTGCTCTGAATCAAGAATTGTGTATTTGTTGATTTTTCCTTTCCCAATTAAAAAGAAATTAGTGGCAGTAGATATAAACCAGTCTGTCGTAAATATAAACTAAAAGCCTAAAAACAATAGAAGGATAAAGACTGCCAAATGCAATTTACAACAATATACAACGTTCACATTTTAAGAGATCATTTACTTGTTGGGTTTGGCTTTCTTTCTTCTGGCAGCAAAGCAGAAATAAATGCTATATAAAATCACTTTATGTTAAGATTAAGTATTGACTGAAGAGCGTGTCATCTATGCAGAATTAATTTTGTTTCTTCCATAGGCCTGTCCATATACAAATAACTAAAAGAAATATAGCCCATATTAAAAACAATCACTTCTCTTTCCTTTTTTTTTTTTAAACTAAGATGCTTCTATGCAAGTTTCTCACTGTATGATGGCCCGGTCTCCATTACAGACAAAGGAAGGAAAGACATGTACTGTAATTGTAACGATATTTGTCCTAATTGTAGTAGGAGCCCTGTGCCCAAACCACCATCACTGCTACTTTTTAAAAAAATGATTTTTTTTTAAAGACAAACTCACTCATATCACCAGCTGCCTAACTGAATCAAGGTCTTTCTCATGCTTAAGCCTTTGGAGAAAGAATACAAACTTGTAAGATGTACTACTGTTCAGATGTATCTGAGACATTGCTTGCCAACAGAAATTTGTTTCTCACATGTTTGGTGATAGCAAATCAATCAATATCAGCCTGGCTGCAAATTGTTGGCACTAACCCTGTTATGGAACACCCTGGATTGAATGTTCTTAATTATGCCATCTTACCGTTGTACTGGTCTAATTGACTGTAATAAAGTAATTGAATTGCCATCTTACCGTTTTATTAGAACAAGTTCAGGGAGAAGGAGGGGAAATTAGGACACCAGAAAAAGCTATATTTAATTGCTCTTACAACAGGTGAATGTTACATACACACATTACATACTTCTTCCTTAAAGCATTTCAAATGTTTCATAAGCCAGGCAAGCGGAGTGATACAAAATGCAAAAACAAAGAACAAATATCTACTGTTCATTAAACTTTGAGGACAAGCAGCACTGAGGAAATATTATCAGCCACTATTACACATATACAGGTATCTCATACAGTTCCAGTTTCAGATTAGGATTACTTCCAACCCTGCCCTTGTTCTGTGAAATAGTTAAAAGTTATTCTTGAATTATGTTTAGATCCACAATAGCTAGGCTGCAACAATTCAGACAACCACTGCCAAAACTCACAGAATGGATTCAGATATAGATATCACATATTCTGATAATATTTGGGAAATAGTAAGGGAATATCCAGAGAAAATTCAACACCAAAATTTACAGAGCAAAACCTGAGAAACAAATTTATTTCAGCAGTAACTCCTGATTTCTTCAATGCCGGATCATAGATGTGATGCTACGCCAAAATGTGCTTGGTCTGGAGTAGCATGTTCTATGAACCTAATCACTGTAGTTTGCAAACCCTGTTTAATGGCTTAGCATTAAGCATGAGTCTAGGCAACGTGGCTTAGTCAATGAACAAGCAAATCTTACATCAGGATTAGTTCCAGATAAGAGAAATACAACATAGAAAGGATACAGTTCTTACACATTTGAAGCCAGCTGAAATATCTCACATAGCAAGCCACTATTGGGAACATCACAGCCTCTTCCAATTGGCAACGTGATCATACACACAGTGATTACAGTGAGAGTTGGCTTGAACTCTGTAATGATTACACTAATAGCAGTCCACAGCTTTCTTGATACTGGGCTGGCAGGCCTTTAGAGGAGTCCCACAGCTAAATTCCTTTCCATCAGGCTTAATATTTACCTTGGAATCAGTGTAAAGTGCTTACATTCCTTTGTTTATTAGCTAATGTTATAAAGCAAGCAAAGAAAGCAAACATCAATGCAGTCAACACTTCCTCCTTCTTGGGCAAAGGCTCCATGTGGTGAAAACCCCAGAGCAATGATGACGTGTCAAAACATGCAACATCAATGGTAAGCATTTGTACAGCGCTTTCAAGATTCAAAATGTTTTATAAGCATTATTCGTGCAACTAGCCTATTGGGTAAATCAACATTATTTTTTATATTGCAGACAGGAAAACTGAAAGAGCACACTTGTGGCAAAGATGTGATTTCACCTGCGGACTTTCCCCTCTTAGTCTCAGTGTTCCTGGCATACTGAAATTCTAAATGTTGCTAGTTTCCTTATTTTTCCATGATAACACTGAAACATCCATTTTGCTTTTCCTGCAATGCAAACTGTAACGCTAGTATGGAATCACAATAGATGTCCAACCGTGGAATTCTTGGTGCTGAGCTTGGTTGTTTGCTTGCAGACATTTCATTATTCAGCTAGGTAACATCACCTACTTGGATAATGAAACAGCTGTAAGCAAACAACCAAGCTCAGAGAGCACCAAGAACTCCACAGTTTAACCCTGAGCTACAGGTATTCTCTTCTATTGGAACACATCCAACTGTAATTATTTGGTATTATTATCCTATGAAGACTGAACTCTACAAAAGCAGCATGGACTGGCAGAATGATTGTAAAGAATGGAACAGTCGAGTATTACTCAAAGCTGTTGTCTGGCTGCAGTTTGGTGGGGGAATGGCAGGGCAGAGGTATGACTTGGGCAGATCTCTGGACAGCTAAGCCTATAGCTCGTTACAAGTACACTGCTACCTTGAAAACCAACTTTTAGAATAGGATTGCAGCTGGCCAAATAAACGCACCAAAAACAGGATGCTACTGTATCTATATGGTTGTGCAAAATGCCACATTCTTAAGTACAGCTTCATTTCTACAAAACAAGAGACATAACTCTTCATATCTCACACAAAGGCACCAAAAACTCTGAAATGGGGAGCCAGTAAAATATAATAGTTCAAATACCTGCAACCCGAAGAGGGCATGATGTAATAGCAACTGTATTAGTTTACAATTACAGATGTCAGAGAAGGAGCATAAAAGCAAGGATTTGTCCAATGGAGTGACCGTCTTTAATAACCTAGAATGAGAACAATTTGAAGGGAGGATTGTGTTTCTAAAATGCATGTCCAGGCCCTATTTGCTATAGGCTCTTTCGCTAAGTGATACTTTAGTAATGATAAACAAGAAGCAACATTATTTTTATGCTTTCAGATAATTAACTTTATCTCTTTGTATTCATTTCCAACCAAAAACACATTTAGGAAAAATAAATCTGGGATTTACATCATTCTCTTGCTAAAATGGTATGGAAGAAATGATAACATTAAGCAAGATTATTAGGGAGCCAAATGTTGTATCAGAAGTGAGCAGAGGAGAAAAGAGTTTGAAAGGAGAAACTGAAATGATAATACAACATTGGAAAAACACTGAAGTTGTTCAAAGAAAGGGGGAAGGAAATCTGAACTGATTCATTCAACTAAATCTACTCTACTAAGCCTTCTCAGGGAGCATGTAGGAGTAAGCACACACACACACGCACACATATGAACAGAAGAACAACAGAATCCTGTAACACCTGAAAGACTACCAATACATAAGAACATCTAAGTTTTTGTGGGCTAAGATCCATCATTTTTCTCCCCTATGTATAATAACTTCTGGGACAGCATTTTCATTACAACCACAAGAGTTCATCTGCCCCAATTCATCTGCTTCTGTTAATTTATTTATCTTAAAAGATAAATGTAACACCAAGTGCTACAATTAACACTGACCCTGAGCCGTCCTTCACAAACATCTTCAGCAAGCCATTAAGAATGAGATACTGTATTACTGAATACACCTAACTCAAAGAGTGTTTGCTGTTACTTCAGAAACAGGAACAATTTGTTTAATCTGTTCTCTGTGGCCATAGCCATCCATGCCTGCAATCTTTTGTAGCTATCTGTGGTCACGTGACTTCATTTATGGAAATAAAGCTTATGGAGATATTACATAAATCTTGGATTTAAATGCTAAGGTTATGAAGATGTCAGACTGTCTGGTAGACAAATTCCTCTGCTATGTGTCTGAGAGCCCGATTAGATAGCATTCCCTGACTTGGAGAACTCCACACATGCTTGGAATACACTACTCAGAATTCCCAGGAAGCTACTAAAATCAACAGCCAGGTTTGCTGGGAATTCTAGGACTTACATCCTAGAACATCTTAACAGTATTGGATGGGGAGGGGCACTTTTTCCTGTATTGCTGATGCACATAAGTTCATGATTTAAAAGCATGGAAAAGTACGAGCATTCAGAAAGGATCTCTTGTGATCCTGACTAGATATATGGGAAATAACTCCCTGCTTCATATTAGCCTATCAGTGTACTGTTACTGTACTCAGCTCTCTTGAATTACATACAGTTTCTTATGTCAAGTGAGTTGCCTTGAGTATTCCATCATCATCTGGCAACTATAGGAACATTACATGAACATTCTTACAGGACTGGCATCCAATTCCCACTGGGTATTTTCAGTTGTAAGAGGAATAAGACAGTTGGTGGCACCTCATCACTATCCTTTATGCCATGTTTCTCCAACCTCAGGCCCTTCAGATGCATTGGATAGTAACTGCCACAGCCAATAGTTAGGTTGGGTATCAATATGAGAGTTGAAATCCAATGTAACAAAGGGCAGAGTTGTGAAGAAGGCTCTAGTTTGCAAAAAGGTACCATCATTTCACCTTTCTGTCCATAAACAAATAAAGGAAAAACTATGCCTAATACTTTATTTTTTATTTTCTGTAGTAATGAACTAACTAATGAGCTAATAGGGCAATGATCCATTTTCAGACTCCTGATCCAGACTGTGAATTCTTTGAATTATAGCAGCTCAAAGAGAATGATCTCACATCTTCTTTCAATTAATCTTTCTTTATCTTGGAGCATTGATTGGTATTTTAAGGCAGATTCCACATCTTTAGTTTTGAGTGACAGCAGTTATAACATCCCATTTTAAGATTTCTGCAATAATAAGAACATGCTGAGCATGTTTCAGCTTTCTATTTGTGGTGGTTTCTGCTGGAAAAATCATAAGGGGAAACAAGGGAGAAGGGCCAGCACACAGCTGTTTACTAGCTAGCGATGACAACATGAGGACCACATGTAAAGTTGATTATGTGCTATTAGGTCATTTTCAACTCCCAGCAACCACATAGATAGATTTTCTCAATGACGAACTATCCCTAACCTGGTCTTTCAGGTCTTCCAATGGTGCACTCATCACTACTGTAACTTAGTCCATCCACCTTGCTACTGGTCGTCCTCTTCTTCTCTTTCCTTCTACCTTTCCCAGCATTATAGACTTCTCCACAGAGAGCTAGGTCTTCGGATAATGTATCCAAAGCAGGATAATTTGGGCCTGATCATTTGTGCTTCAAGTGAGAACTCTGGATTGATTTGTTCGATGATCCATTTGTATGAGCAATATAACCTAATGCCACAGCAAGAGCATCATTTGATAAGGTTCTGAAGGCCACTGTGACCATGAAGAATTATCATAACTCCAAACGGAACCTCCAGAGTGGAATGGATTGTTTACATATAAAAATAAATCCAGAGATCTGGACTTATTCCCCTGGTAGAAGAATTCAGAGGTCAAAATGATCAGTAGGTACAATATTATTCCTTTAGCCTTGCTAAAAGTTTACTGTATGTTCAGGGAAGGGGAGAGTGTTGCTAATATGACAGAAAAAGCAGCAGTGAGCTTCTGATATAAACCTTTAATTATTCTGAAGTACTTCCTCCCAGACTTGAACTTGCCAAGAATATAATGGATTTCCCTTCAATGTCATTTTGGTTCAAAACAGAAGCCAGTAAGCAGAGAAGTTGCTTTATTTATTCATGGTCTACATTAACATTTATTCAGCTGGCAGCTGTGCACTGAATGAGGCAGAAACCTGAGAGCTACCTGCTGGATTTGTAAGCCTACGGATCTTTCAGCGAGTATGTGGAGAATCTTCTAGAATATGGGCCTTAACACATGAGAAGCTTGGGTGTTTGTTGCCAAAGGCAAAGAGCATTCAATACCCTAATGATCTCAAGGGAAGACAAGGACCGTTTGTGGTCAGCAAAGGGCAACTCATTCATTCGTGCAAGTGGGAAGAAGGGTCATTCATCAGCTCCTGTTACTACTATGGGAGCAGCTACTGAAGAGATCGTGTTATTTTATTTCTGCATCCTGCAGTGTCAGAACCTTGGACTGAAGTTCAATAAATAGCCATGGAGCTACTAAGGCCACTCCTAATTAGCAAGTTCACTCAGCAGATATGAATTTTGAATCAGGGAATTCCTGGTTCACAGCCGAGTCACTCAGGGCTCATCTACAGAGCAATAGTAATGTGCTTTCATCCCATCCTTGAGGCAGGAGGAAAGTATGCCAATAGAAAAACGGCTCTCTCTCCCTACAGTCTACCTTTTACTGTGCCTTAGCAATGAGGCTGGTAGCATTGCTGCCTACACATAGTTTAGTGTGAGGTAGTTTTAGGGCAACAACTGGGAAAACATCAGACAATGCACAGAAAACACCACCACATGGGAGACTAGAGGATGAGAAGAGAGGAAAGGTCAAGGTTGTGTGCTACACATCCTAGAATGGTAGCAAAAGCTACCAACACATGCAAGATCCACTGAACTCCTGCAATTTGTGCAAGTGGGGAGGGAGGGGGAGTTAATATCAAGAGATGTGTGTTCCTCAATGGCCCCCATTTGTTCTTCCTGACAGAGGAGATTTCAAGTCAAGCTTCTCACTGAGAGGAGCAGAAGCCACCAAGATCTCCCACCCACTCCATCATCCCACTGCCAGAAGGCTGGAAAGCATGAAAATGGATTCTCCTGTCACTCAGCAGAGGGCGACTCCCTCCACATATCTGAGTGAATCTGGTCACTTTCATACCCCACCCCCACTTTTCTCCTTTGCAGTGGGTGAACTCTTCAGACCTGGGCTGGGACAAAGTCGCTCTTTGTATGGAGACCCCTGTCCCTTCCAGTCAGCTTTAACTAGGAGTCTCTGCTGCCACATATTATAGCTGAAGTTGGAAGTCCTGAAAAACATGCTGCCTTATACCTGTCAAAGCAACACACTCCATACTGAGTGCAACAGGGCTTCTGCCCCAGAGATATTGTCTATGGAGCAAAACGTGCGTTGTCCTCCAAATGATCCATTTCCTTGCACAGAAGAATGTCCAGGCAGAAGGTCTTTTGCTGTTGTATCAGGGAAAACAGTACTTTCAAGCTGGAACAGCTTGGACTGGCTTCAGCATCCCTCAGCAGCAAGCTATGTATGAGACGGAGACTCCATTGTAAGGACGTAGTAAGCAGGCTGCGTGCCTGAGCCCTTAGCCACTGTGACATAATGCCACTGTATCAGTGCATTATCTCTGTCTTTTGTTGAGTTGTTGTTGTTGTTTAGTCGTTAAGTCGTGTCCGACTCTTCGTGACCCCATGAACCA